TCATCTTTATTTTACCAATTACTTTATCAAACTGTAATTTTAAATACATTATTCCTTTTTCCAAAAAGAGCACAGTCAGCATTTCAGCAGTCTATACCCATACAAATAAAAATATAAACATCAGCACAAACGTCAGAAAAAACCCCAGAAAGGTAAAAAATTACTAATATGCTCCATTTTAGCACATGCCACCATGAAATAATTAAATTTTAAGTCATTACTAAGGCTAGTTAAAGTTTACTGCATGGAGGTAAAATTAAAACTCACCTCTTTGTTTTCTTCAGCATCTCCATGAACCCAAACAGTAGCTTCAAGATAATTCTCTCTGTTTGCCCTGTAAGTTCCTTGGAGGTAAATACCAGATTTTATTCCTTGCTGCAATTTGCTAAGAGGAATATGTTCTGGGAATATTATTTTTCCACCTTCTATTTCTTTCTTTAGGAAAAAAGAAAAAGAGGAGAGGATATTTTCAGTATTTTATATTCATGTTAATTTCAATACTGAGCTCTGGAACACAACACACTCAAGCTAACAAACTCCCTAATTGTAACTGTGTGTAGGTATGAATATGCACAACAATAAAAAAAACTATTTTAAGCAGTACTTTTTCTAATGAAGCATCAAAAGCATAAAAATGTGGCAATTCTAGGAACTTCTCTTGTTTTCCTGCAGTTACTTAAAAACATGCTGCACAATTTTGATGAGTCTTGATTCTGATAAACGCAAAGCACAAGGAAGAAGAGGATGTAGCTTGTATTTGAGCTGCAGCATGCTTTTATGTCAACTTAACTAATAACCAAATTAAAAATGCTTTTGATCAGTAACTTATTTAACATAGATTTTCCAGCAGACACAAAACAAAGATCTAAATGGTTTGCAATATATTTTGTTTTCATTTTGTTGTTTCTGCTATTATTCTCATCCTCACAATAGTTATCTAAAGCAACTGGCTTGTTACAGATAACAAGATACATACTAACAGGCATATAAGCAGAACTGAAAATGGCTACCACATTTCCTTTTTACTTTTCAGTTGTCAAAAAGTTAAATTGCCAAAATGATAATAAAGTCCAAACTCCTTGTATTCTAAACTGATGCCAGTACCCTGACATACAGTATGCAATATTATACTACAAGCCATTTGTGGTCAATTTATTTTATAAAAAAAACCAAAAAACATACCCCTTCATCAGATACACAAGCAAGACGATCTACAAGCTCAGGATTAGCTGTCAAGCTTTTTATATACTCCTCACCTACAAAAGCACACATGGAAACATTTATGCAAGAGATGCATGGGATTTAGGTATCAAGTGACTGCTCAGTTTATTTGAGCAATAAATTAAACATACATACTAGTTCACTTACATGTATAAGCAGTTATTCCTTCCTCCAGAGCTTTCTCTTTATTAATTCTGTCATTTGTTAAAAAGATAACTTGAATCTTTTCCTCATCCTCTATTTTCTTCAAGTGTTCATTGTACCATTTCACTGCTACCCGAATGGCTCTGTCATTGCGGTCATTAGCAGTTTCTCCCCGATTCTGCTCTATGTACGTTTCTCTAAATAAATTTTAAAAACAAAGGGGGATGTTTGACAAACCAAAACAAATCTCAGCATCCATCTATACTTAAAATTTTCAGACAAACAAGATCAAGGCTGTTACACCAGAAGTATCATTATTGCAGCCATCGTTATGTGTAACACTCATGAGGCCACTGAAGGGCCAGGAGACATGGGTAAAGGAAACAGGAATGAAGTGTTAATTTCTAACACAACCTTCTCACAGACAATCAAAGAGGTTTGCATGCAAGCTGTTAGCTATGGATTCAAGATTCCTTGAACTACGATACTGCAGTATTGGAAACTAATTGTGAGCACAAATAAAGGCAAATTAATTGCACCTCCGTTTCTTAGAGCTTTCTGTAACTAACTTAATGGATTTTTGAATTCTGCTACAGACTAAGCTAACAATATTGGTAAAACATTGGAATATGTTTAAAAGGGCACTAAAATGGAAAATCAGTACCTTATTACTTAAGAAAACAGTGCTTATTATTCAATATTCTAACCCCCTTTACATATTATGTATGGATTTATACCAACTACAGACAGAAAACTTCCTGGAATATCAACTATTTCCCAAAAGGATTCCTTAGAAATATATAGTTCTATGACATCAGTTTAATTTTTCTTCCAGTCCACATGTTCCAGTTTTGTTTCCCATTTTCTTTTACTGGATACCAGCACAACTTTGTTACACCCCATTGCAGTCCTTACCTGTGATGCTCATTGGTGAAAGAATAGAAATGTTTTTCTTTGTTTTGAATCACATCCCTAATCCGCTTGTACACTGGCGCACTCCGATTCCTGACTTCTTGCAGGACTGTCTGCAGCACAATGACATTCTTAATAACTGGATCTTCAAGGATATCAATCTGAGGAACAAAATGGAAATTAATCAAAATTGTTGTTTAATTCTATCCAATAACAGGACTCGAAATATTTCCTTGGCTAGTACATGAAAAGTACATTACACGAGTAATGAGTGACTCTCCTTCTGCCTTTTCCCCTCACCACTGGGAAACAGGACAGTGTAGGAAGTTGCTTTCTCCTCCTTGTGGGGGAAAAAAAAAAAGTCAAATAGGATTTTCCAGTCTCTTTGTGGCCTGAAGTGAAGATAAGGATTCTGATTTCCAACAAATTTGCCCCCAGTGTGTGCAGAATTCCAGACAAATGTAAGGCCGAGTGTACACTACAAATTTTGCTTACATAAAATAGGATCCTATAAAATTTACCCTTAGTAAACAAAATGCAACTATGCACAATCTGAGGGAAATCTGATGTAATTTACAGGCTGCCTGCCTCTGTGAGGAATGCAAGCCATAAAATGGTACCCAGTCACTCTTACGCAGACGTGCCTATGCATGTGTAGGTTTGAGTTCTCCAGAAATAATCCCACTGTTAAACCGAAATTTTAACTTCCATGGAGTGAATCAATGGGCATTCTGCAAGCTGCTCTCTGCTTTTGAAAGACCTTTTTCTTTTTGAAGAATTTTGTTAAAATTTTCAGTACTTTTCTTTGCCAACTCCTGACATCAAGACAGAGAAATAAATATACACTAAAAATCCATGTAATCTATTGGGGGAAAAAGATGGGAGCTAACTTCCTAACCTCATAGCAAAAAACTGTGCAAACCCACCTGCAAAATGAGACAGCCATAAGGCTCTAGAGGGCACAGCTAAAAGAATAAAAAGCAATACTAGACCAAGCTCCTGTGAACCTGATGTTTACACAACCTGAAAGATTTAGAGCCATATTCACAGGGGAAGAAATCCAACATTATTATATGCATAAGCTGAAGCACCAGGCAAAAGTGTTTCAGTTTCTAGGCAAAACCTTTCCCTAGCCTTACCAAGCCTTCCTAATCTCCACCTCTACAGTTCACCTCAGCACACCCTGGTACATTCTCAGAGCATTCTATAGGACTCACATACAAATTACACCAACAAGACACCAAGAAGTCCACTTGTGAGAGGCTGAAAACATCCCTTGGCCTGCTGTTTTGTGACGAAAATCCTTACAACTTTTGGGATCTCTGGTAAAACACACAAGTGTTGTTCCCCTCTCCAGAGTACTCCACGTTAGAATTCATGAATTAGTTACATCTCCAACGTGTACAGGGCTGTTCTATCTTCTATACAGGTATTCAAAAACAATGAAAGGAAAACGTTAAACATCAAGCTTGGGAACTCCTCCCAGCCTCAAAGTGTATTGTCTGCCCTGCTCAGACCCAGCTCTCTGCACAGCTATGGATGGGCTGCAGAGTGAAGTTGCTCCCGTGCTTCCAGAGTCCTACATGGAATGATTTCACACCCTCTACTCATTACATGAAATCAACATCACAGTAAAAAGAACCTAAACCTACATCCTGAAAAGCAGAAGAGGCATTTAGAAAAATTCAGTGACCACAGACGATCCAAAAATTCAGTGACGACATGAAGATCCCAATCCCTACTTTGAGAGTCCACCAACTTTCTCTGCTTGAATTCTCATACCCATACCAGACCACAACGAACTAAATAAATAAATAAATAAACAAATAAATAAATAGTGTTCGTTATTCCTACGATTCAGGCAGAAAAAAAAGAAATCACAAAACCCAAACAAAACAACAACAACAAAAAACTACAAAAAAGCCCCACAAAATAAGCAAAAAAAATCACACACATACACCTCCCCGATGAAACTGGAACACAGCCTAAGCCAGACAGGGTTCGCTGATGCTGCACACTTCTCTTCAGGAGCTGGCAGGGAAAGACAAGACTGCCCAGGCAGGGATCAAGCAGCCACAGGAAACACGGGAGGAGCCAGGCCTGCACCCACACGGAGCCCACACGGGCGCTTACACCCACAAAGATTTAACAAGCCCGGTGCAGGAAGGCTGGAGCCTCCACATGGAGCCCGGTCGGGCCCAGAGGAAGGCAGCGGCGGGCCCTCCCCAGCGCTGAGGCGGCAACACCATCCGTCCGCCCGTCCGTCCCTCTGTCCCGGAGGCGCTCACCTGGTGCAGGAGCAGGTTGGTGTCGGGCAGGAGGAAGTGCGGCCCGGGGCAGAGGCTGCTGGCGGGGCCGCTGGGCCGCGCCTCCAGCCCGGGCGCGCTCCCGGCGCCGGGCGGGGCGGGGGGACAGAGGCGGCACGCGGCGGCGCCGCACGGGATGTCGTCGCGCAGGTAATGCTCGCGCACCACCTTCACCACCGCGCCCGCCCGCGTGCGCTTCACGAACGTCCGCGAGGTCAGCATGGCGGGCGCGCGGGGGCCGCGGGGTGCTCGCGGCCGGCGGGAAGCGGCGCGGGGAGCGGGAACGGCGCGGGAACGGCGGCGGAAGCGGCGCCCCGGTCGCCGCGGTGATGGCGTGGCGCGCGGCCCCGCCCCCGCCGCGCTGAGGGGAGGCGGAAGCGCGCGCGCGCGTGTAGTGCCGCCGCTGCCCGGGGTGCGCGGGACAGAGCCCGGGAGCGGCCCGGCCCGGGGTGCTGCTCCCCGACCCCGCCGCTGCCGAGTTACCGCCGGGGCAGCTGCCCGCTGCCTTCCGCAGCTCCGGGCATCCTGCGGGACCAACGGTATTCCCTCTTCCCGAGCTGCCCCCGGCTGCCGTGGGCAAGGAAGGCGGTGGTGGCGGCCCCGGGAGGGCAGCCCGGCTGCCGCTGGCCCGGGCTCCTCTCCCTGCTGGGTTCTGGGCAGCGCCGTCTGTAAGTAGCGCCGTGGTCTGTGCCAGGTGGTTGTAAAAGCCCGGGTGGCTGCTGGGTCAAGCAGCTTGGGAAGCACAGTGCTGCTGCTGCTGAGAAGGCGAAGGGCAGCGAGGTTTGAAAGGAGCTCGTAGCTGGGTCGGGCCCGGGCTCTCCTCCCAGGCACCCAGCCGTAGGATAAGAGGACAAAGCCTCAAGCTGCTCCAGGGGAGCGTAAGGCTGGACATTAGGTGGATTTTCTAAACAGGGTGGTGAGGCAGTGGAATGCGTTGCCAAGGGAGGTGGTGGAGTCACCATCGCTGGAAGAGCTTAAGGAAACACTGAACATGGCACTGAGTACCATGGTGCAGTTGATAAGGGGCTATTCAGTCGTAGGTTGGACACGATGATCTCGGAGGTCATTTCCAACCTATGTGATTCTGTGATCAAGGTGTTCCTTTATCGTTTCCTCCAGTAAGTCGTGGTATGCTTCTTATAGGGCGCTGGGAGTTTTCAGTGCATATGTTTTGACAACATGCATATCTTTATTTAACTATAGCAACATACTAGTAAGCTAGATTCACACTGGTATTCGCACTGGTATTTAGGTTATTGTAGTCAAAACGCTTGATAATGATCAGCAAGAGGGTCCTCAGGCAGCAGCCCTCCAGAGCTTCTCAAAGTGTTTTTCTTGGTTGAAAAAACAAAATGTTCATGTGATGCTGAGAAGCATTGCTTGCTTAGTGGTCTAATGTGGTGGTTAGTTTTTCGTAATGACACTTCATTTAATTGTTTTGTTTCCTGCAGTTGGTTCTTCAGGAGGCTCATCTCAAAGTATAGCTTAAAAAAGCTTTGCAAATAGTGGGAGAAAATGTCACATAAAAACTCTAAAGTAACCAAGAAAGTAAACATTTCCAGCTCCTTGGAATCTGAGGATATCAGCTTGGAAACCACAGTACCAACTGATGATGTTTCTTCCTCTGAAGAGAGAGAAGGTGCTGTAAAAATCACTAAGCAGCTGATTGAACGGAAGGAGCTGCTCCATAATCTTCAGCTGCTTAAAATAGAATTATCGCAGAAAAACTTGATGATTGACAACTTGAAAGTTGAATATTTGACCAAGGTAAGTAGTCTTTCTCCTTTCGTTATGTAATCTTTTTTTGATTTTGGTGCTTTTAGAGTATGATAGAAACTTCTGTTCTGAAAATAATTTATTTGAATTAAATGGTGGAGATGTACTTAGTTGGTTTGGGGATTTTCTTGGTGTGTTTTGTGTTCTTTCATGAGAAGAAGGAGAAGCAAAGATATAGAAAGCTTCACTGACTTTAAGTCATTTTACTTGTAAGTAAGGGAGGATTTGTTTTACCTTTCCTAAACACAAAGAAAAACACCTGTTTTCTTTCAGAAATGACGAATTTTGTCACTCATGTTAGTAGCAGAACAGGGCTTTGAACCTGAACTTGTGGAGTACTAGAAAAGGTGATCTGAATACTCCTCAGTGCTTTGTTAATGAAGATAGGGATGGAGTATACCAACATGCTAACAGTGGATTCTGTTGTGTAAAACTTGCACAAAGATGCATGAAATTAAGAAAGGTGTAAAAACATTGCCACATTTGTGTGCGGTTCAGTTTTACATCATACTATATGCTAACTGGTTTTTATTGGCTTTCTGCTCTGAGTTTAAGCCTAACTTGAAATTAGTTGAACAAATAGCCATTTAGGAACTAAGCCCTTTTTTATTTTTAGATCACTGGGACAAAGTCTGTATCATATTCTGAAGCCCTAGTGTATTCAGAGGTCTTGTTAGACAGCAATTATTGCACTGCCCACAGCATTAGGATCTTCATATTTTTATTTCAACTTGTTCTTTTTGCAAAATAATTTTTTAAAAATTATTGTGGTAACTTATTTTGTTTTATACTCACTCACATTCTTTATATTTAGATTGAGGAGCTAGAGGAGAAGCTTAATGATGCAATCCATCAAAAGCAGCTGTTGTCTTTACGACTGGATAGTCAGGTGGCATTACAGCAAGAAGATGCCAGGTATGGTGGAAGTAAAATTAAGAACTTCATCTTTAATAAATTTGTGCATTAATTTGAGTTTGTGTAAATAAGCTAGAAACAGATAATTATTAGTTACAGGAATAGGATTTCTTTTGCAGATTATATTAGTGTTTTAATTCTAAAAATTGAATTTACGTATTTAATTTGCGTATAAGTAAATTAGAATTCAGTTCTCACTAGCTATATTTTGTGGGCTTGGTTTTATGTTACCTAAATTCAAAATTTAGTAGGAAGAGGTAGTAAAAGTGTTCTTAAACCAATAAAGAGCAAAAGGACTAGGCAGAGGTGACAGACTTTCCAACAGTTTAAACAGAATTTTTAATAAATGCAGCATAAATGCAGACTTGGGAAAGATAAGTGCATGATGTTTTGCTTTTCCCATTAGTACTTCCTATTTGTCAGAAATGCTTTCAGCTGATGATGTAGAAACTCACTTTCCATGTTGTTTTACTGAAATATTTGGAGTTAACCAGAAAAATAGACTGGCTATCAGGCTTCTCCAAACCACTTTGTCAGTGAAGTGTGAGTTTCCACACCTGTGAAGGAAGAGCATTACTTCTATAGCCTCATGTTAAAGCAGAGCTTACAGGATGTGACTACTTCCAAGTCCTCTTCTGTAGTGAGGCTAGAACAGATTTAGGGATGTGGAGCCAGACCTGAGATTAGTTCCAGCAAAGTCTTTCAACTGGGAGCAGCTTATGGTCAGAAAAACATTTGTCACTCTGTATGCTTAGATGCACCAGAGTGGAATATTTTTGTGCTGGCCATACCTGAGTTATCTGAGGAGTGCTCAGTAATAAGGTACCGATGTGCAAACTGTTATTAATAGACATAAAAAAGTTAAACTACTTTTCCCAATCTTTTCATTAGTTTTCTTGTCAATCTTTTACTTAACTTTTCATCCTCATGTAATAGAATTGTACACACCATGGAGTGTGTCCTTGTGTGATTCCTTTGATGACCTCAGACTTCCTGTTACCTGTACCCTGCCAGTGGGATAGATGTTGCCTTGTAGTACTAGCTGGTATTTTTCTATTCCTTTTTAAGTAATGCAGAAATGACTATGTTTTAAACAGTGATTTTTATGTGTTTTCAAGAGTTGCAGCCAAAAATAAAAAAAAAGTAGGTTAGTTGTCTGTGATTTAAAGAAAATAAACACTTCTAAATGTCATGAACTGATGTGCAGTTTCTGTTGCTGTATAAAAACCTTATCACTGATGATAATTGTTGTATGGTGTTTTAAGGCTGGAAGTAAGGCTGCTTGTTCTATTGTAGTGGTGGTTGTTTTCTTGCTGTTTGTTTTTTTTTTTTAATAAAGGACTCCAACTTAGTATATTACAGTGGTTAGAAAGTTAAGGGTTTATATGACTGTGCTGAAACTTGGTAAGACCCAAGGTCAAGTGATTTACCAACTCCTTGGGGTTTGTGTGGAAATATGTTGTTATTAGATTTCTAGAGTCCCATACCTTCTCTCAGTGTTTTCTTATGGCTGCAGAGCTTCACAACACAGACTCCTTCTTCTGCATGTGGTTCCTTCTTAGTCAGAGCTCCTCCAAGGCTCTCCCTGACTGGCCAACCCACCCCCTTTTATCCCAGCTACCTTCACTAGCCACAGCTGCTGCCCAATTAAGGACATTGCAGCTGCAGCCCATCAACAACAACCGGGACCTACCGGGGCAAGGCCTATGTACAGATATTCAAGTACAATACTGATATTTTACTAGGACTCAAAGGCCACCTCTGCTATAGAAATAGATTATACTTTTTCATGGTTTTAACTTTTTAGTTGGTAAATTAAGTTTAGTTCATAAATTCCAGTCCAGTATAAAAGTTTAGTTCATAAACTCCAGCATATGTGGAGATTGTCTATCCTCAGATTCAGGTTGCGCTTGCAAAATATCCCTTGCTTTTCTCTTATGCTTTCCATATGTCCCTTTTGTGTTGTCAATGACTAAAAAGTTCCTGGCTTTTTATGTGTACTGTATCTGATATGACTGTTTAACCAGGGTGGTATACATTCTGGCACTAATTACCTGATATTTGTAAATTTTTCCCTCTACAAAATGAGCAGAACTCCCTTCTTTGCCAGGGTATTGTGAGACCTGGTCACTTATGTTACTCATTACCTGGTATCTTCTGTTTTCAAATCCACCTTGAAGGAAACATCAGGCTCTAATGAAGCAAGAAATGGAAACTATTTTATTGAGACAGAAGCAACTGGAGGAAACAAATTATCAGTTGAGAGAGAGGGCAGGAGACATCCGTCGCAGCTTGAGAGACTTGGAATTAACAGATGAATGCTATGAGAAGCTAAAGTCTCTTCCTGAAGATCAGCTTTCTATCCCTGAATATGTTTCAGTAAGTATTGGGTTTTGCACTGCTCTAAAATATAACCTGTGTCTTGGATCTGACTGGGACAGAGTTGACTTTCTTCTTAGCAGTCTTGAGTCTTGCTGTGCTTTGCACTGGGGGCTGAAACAGCGTTTTGGCTATTGCTGGACAGTGTTTGCACAGCATCAAGGCTTTCCTTTTTCCCCATTCTGTCCCCCCCTGCCCGAGAAAGCAATGAATGGTCAGGAGATTGATAGGGGACACAGCTGGACAGCTGACCCAAATTGGCCAAGGTAATATTCCATACCATAAAATGTCATACTCAGCAGCATAAATAGGAGCTATAGGAACAAAGAGAAGGTGGGGGGGAGAGATGGGGTGGTTATTACTCAGGGACTGGCTGAGTATCAGTTTTGATCAGTTTCCCCAGTTTCTGGGAGGTGATGAGTTCTTTTCTTTTTTCTTTCTTTTTTACTTTTTAAGCTCATCTCTCTTTCCTTCAGTAATTGTTTAGAAAACTTGACGCCTGAGTTTTCTTGCTTTTGTTTCATTCTTCTCACTTTCTCCTCTCTATAAATAGGCTGCTGGGCAGGCTCAACCCATCCCAAGCTGTAAATTATGGTGTGTTGTGGTTTTTTTAATCTCCAACTAGAAATAAAGGACCCTCAGAGGGAGATGTGTTTCTGGATCAGTCTTTTAGGACTGGGTTCCAGTAATTAGAGGAACCTTTTAATCCCTGAGTCTGATGTCTTGAAAGAGAGTAGAACTGCTGATGTATTTTAATGAGGTTAAGCAGATGGGATGTTACACTTAAAGTGTGAGCACACATTAATGATATGAAATACAGCAGGCTGAAAAAAGGAATTTGAAACTTGGTTTGTCAGAACCACAAGCTGGGATTGCACTTGCAAATATCCAAATATCCCTTACTTTTCTCTTATGCTTTCCTTATGTCCCTTTCCTGTTTGACTAAATGCAGGAGACAAAGTGTACCTTAAAGTATGCTTTAGGATTCATTTTCTTGATTTAATGTGTTTGTTAATTATGGCTTGTGGGTCTGTGGAGAGGCCACAGTGTACTCTTGTTTGCAATAGAAAGCCTGTGGTATATATCCAGAGCATCCCAGCTGACTTATGAGAATGAAAAAGATTTAGACATATAAACCTTAATTCCTCAAAATATTTGCATTATACTTGTCTGTAGAGCTTGTTATTAAGGAACCTGTTAATGTTAAAAACCTTAGTACATTTGTTGAGGTATAAATGGATGAATTCTCCAGATCAAAGTCTTACTTTACTGTGCTCTAGATATGTACAGAGAAGTAAAATTTTTCACCCAAATCTAAAGAATGTTCTTGTGAACATCTTTTGAAAAGCTGGGCTTTTGAAAGTGCTAGGAAAATCATAAGGCTCTGTGGGATAAACAAGAACATATAGCTTGGTTACTGTTAGATTATCAGCACCTAGCTGTCTGCTGTACCCACTGCCCTCTGCAAAAGTATTTGACAGGGTGTTGCTGATTCCTGTATCAGCATGGTTGAATAAACCAGACTTTTAACAGAAACTGAAATCCATGTCAGTGGATCTATTGAAATTGGTGTGCAGGAAGTTCAGGACTTCAGGAATTGATTGACAGTCAGTACAAAAGACTCTGTAGCCAGGCAGGACAGATACCAGGAGTTAGTAACCTTGTCAACTGCTTTAAGTGAAGCTGTCACAGCACAATTTAGATTTAATTTGTGAGTAGAAAATGGCTGTCAAAAAGATGTGAAGTAAGAGAGATGAATAGCAGCCACCTTCTACCTTTAACCTTCTGTTCTTTTACTCTTGTGTTCAACCAGTTAATGTTATTTTTATCTGTGACAAAAACTCCTCTACTTAAATGCTAGGTGAAGTTCCTCTCTTCTTAACACATTACTTTTTCTTTTGAAGAAGCCATTTTTAAACCTTTTCTTTTTCTGGATAAGGTATTCTAAAGATGTATTGTAGTAAAGTGCTATGTTCTGCTTTTTTCAACTTCTTTTAGCAGAAGATTAGTGTGAACCTAAAAGTATCAGTTAAGCTTGGTGGTTGTTTATCTTTACTTCAAGTTGTGCAGGTGCTGGGAGGCTGCAGAGCTGTTTTGCACATCCTGTCTGTGCATCCATTTGGCTCCCAAAGGCTGGGGAAAGGAGTTGGAAGGGAATGCTGTTTCCTGCTTTGCCTGCCTAAGGAGGAGTTGGGCATTTCTAGGCAGTTATAATTTCTGACTCCAGATCTGTGTGCAGACTAATAATATAGCCCAGTGATATAAGGGTACAATTTTCCTTGTTGAGAAAGGGTCCTGCTTAGACAACTTGAGCAGGAAATTTTCAGACTTTTTTTCTATTTATCGGTTCTAAAATATTGCCTTGCAATTCTCCAGAATGGAAGTAAACGTGTATAGAATGCTTAGACTTTATTTGACACCAGGCCAACTGGACAAACAGCAGGAAGAACTTAAATGCAGATTTTGTATATAGAGATACTGTAAATTTGAAACACTGGAATTAAAGCAAATGTGAGATGTTTTTCACTGTTCTTCCACAAAGGGGTGCAATAGTGACATGTTAGAACAAAACCTAAGTAATGCTTAATGCTAATGATGACAACTGAAAAACTGTATTTTGCACATCTTTCTCTTAAAATCATAGTTTTTTGTTTTGAACTTAGTGTGAAAATTCAGATTTTTGTTTTGTCATTCCTGACATGTTTTTAGAAATGGTATCTGTGAAATTTGAAAGTACTTCAGGCTGTTAAATAGTTCAGCTGCCAAGGACCAGTTCAGTTTGTTCAGTAAAGTGAACCTCTTGTGTACTCCACTGTAAAAAAATTTCAGCAAATTTTTTAAAAAAGGTTTTTGCAAGTTCTGTTTAACTGATTTTAATTGCCATGTCTTTCAGGTAAATCATTTTGCTAACTGCAGTTCAGTTGCTGTTTGTTTAAGAAGGCAGTTAACTGATGCAACTGTTTTCACAGAACTTGAATTAACAGGAGCCAACTTTTTCAACCTCCATACCCATCCATTTTTACTTTATTCTAGTTGTCCATAAAAAGTGGTGGGCACAGGCCGAGAGTTTTTTAAAAATTGCCTAGAAAGTGGTAATTGTTTACAGCACACCAATATAAATTTCTGATTTTTAAGATGCACAGTTGTTTCTAAAATTCCTTTTAGAGTAAGTTTAGTTTCTGTTGTATTGAATTGGCAGCAGGCAGTGTGTGCTTTGACTGCTGGGTCACATGAATGTTTATTGGCTATCAAACCAGCTAAATAGCAATAACAGTTGAACTGCTAAAACCTCAGCCTCATCTGCTGCATTCATTTTCACTTATTACCATGCAATGATCTTTTCTTGGGAAGGCTGTGTAAATACATTTATCCTTGATACCTGTATCCCATGTAATCTTCGTTTGTACTGGGAAATCTGGTTTAGGGTTGTTGTGTTTTGGGGAATAGTTGTGGTGTGATAGCACAAATCTCCTAGGTTTCTAGGGATATTGCAGTAAAAATAAAAGAACTTACTGGAAAAGCAGGTGCGATTTTTAAAAAAACCACAATGCTTTAAATTATTATAAATTAGTGATAATCAAAGTTACTTTTTTCTTAAGAAGTGACCAATTGAGTCATCAGATGTTACAGTTAAAATGCTAATCTTTCAGTCATGTTGCACACTTGCCTTAATGTATAAAGCATACTACACCTGTGTTTACATTGCAAATTTCTATGGCTTCTGTGTTTTTAGAATTGTATGCTGTCAATTATATGAAATATACCTGGAACTGGTCTTTGTCTTCTGCTGTTTACAGGTAGCAAAACAGAAATCTGTCTTCCTTTGGCAGGGAAGTGCAATACAGCTTGCTCTTGAATGCTTACTTAATCTGTGCTTTCTTGTCTGTATTTCTTCTTTAATCATATATCAAAGAAAGCATTAGGGATGGAGGGCATGCAATAGCTTTTGCATGAAAACGGTGCCTACTTTTTAATTCTTTTCACACACACACCCCCAAATGCAACATTTTAAGGTATCAAGTTAATCTGGGAATAATAACCTCTGTGTACGTGTGTGTGGGTGTATATCAAAAAAGCTCTTTCTTCTTTGTTTTGTCTCTTTTTGTTTTTTAATACTGGCTTTGTGGTTTTACTACTGTATTTTCTAGTCGTTTTTTCTTGATCAGAAGAGAAGTTCTGAAAAGGTTTTATGGATGTGAGACTTGCCTGAGACAATGCCTATGACTAGTGTGGGGGAAGAGAGAGGAGTATGCGTTACAGACTTTAAATTTTTTTTAATCCTGTTAGAAGTTGGGATGTTTTTGGTGTTAATTTAGCAGAGGCAAGTCTTTCAGAGCCTTAGTTTCCTGATGCAGTTGAATCCCTGTACCAGCAAGTTACTGCTGGAGGTGTGTGTGGAGGGGGTGTCATGGTTCCTCCTGGTTCTGTGCTGTTCCTGCTCCATGTGCTTGCTCTTGCATTTTTCTTGGTGCAAACTCAGCACACTGAGCTGGCAGAAAACAAAACAAACCAAATCCCTCAATTTCTACACACCCCATAAAAATTTATATTGTCTTGAGGGAAATTAGCAAGTTAAGTTGGTTACTACTGAATAGGTTTTGGGTTTGTTTGGGGTTTTGGTTGGTTTTGTAGTTTTTTGGGGTTTTTTTTGGACTGTTAATCAAATAGGCTCTAGGTTTGGCACAAGGAGGTGCATGAGGCCATGTGTCCATTAGCAACAGTATTTTTTTGATTGATCTGCCTGAGTGTAAGCTGCCTTAGTTGTACAGCAATATAATCTTTACTTTATGGCGTGCCCTAGAAATATTATTTAGTCATTATTGTCATAAGATGTTGAGCTGATGTGTTTTTAGGTTGGTAGTTTTGCAGTTGCAGTTTGCTAGTTTCAACTTTGAATATCTGTCTTGTTCTTCTAGGTCCGGTTCTATGAAGCAGTCCATTCCTTAAGAAGAGAGCTAAGTGATCTACAGATGAAAAAGGAGAGTCTGACAGAAGAACTAAGTGGGTACAGATCCCAGCTGAAGTGTCTGACAGAGGTCTGTGCTCCTTAGTTATGTTATCTCAGTTCAGAAACTGTGAATACATACATTGCGAAAATCTCATTCTCCAAATCGTTATTTGTGTATAAGATAAAACGCTTTTATGCTGTATAAAAATTACTGTAAGGGAAAAAGGAAATAACCTATAGGCATCCTTGCATAACAGCTAACCTGATGCTATGGCTACCCTGCAGGATTTGCTCATGGGACTGTTCAGGGTAGTCTCTTACCAGCTGTGTTGTGCTTTCTGAGGGCAAGATTTCAGGGTGGGGATGCTGGACAGGGGATCTGCCCAGCAGCAGCTGAAGACACTGTGATAGTTCAGTGTGTGGGGTCTTTGAGATGGGGATGTCTTGCTAGTGGTTTCTATTGTTTAAAGTTCTTTGGAGTTGCATCTTCTCTGTTATGCTTTTCAATTCTTTGTATTTTAATTTTTTTATTTGTTTCTATACTAAAGTAAAAGATAATTCCATTTCATGGAAGATATAAACACCAGAATAGAGAAATAAATTATATAAATATTTTAAATTTTTATTTTTAAAGCGCTAATGAATTAAAATAGTATAAGAAGTGTGGTTTTTCTAATGTATATTATTTCTAATATACTTTCTATTTTCTAATTTATATTATTCTTGGTATGTATATAGCTAGGGTGATTTGTATTTTAACTCCATGAGTCTGGAGTTGGGACACAGTTTCAGGTACTCAAAGTATATTTATCCAGGTCATGGCTAGCAGAGATTTAAATGACACTGTCATTTTGCTACTTCTCAGAATATGTTTTAGTTACTGCCTTTTTTCTCTGTGAAATTTGCTTATGGAATGATCAGGTGTAAGGGGAAATTCTTTATATAAGTTTATCTTGTGAAATTCATGTACTTTCATTTCTCATTCTGATTGAATTAGAGAAAGTAGTCAATAAAATTTATGCATTTATCTGCTTCAACATTATTCTGTGTAACCATCTCTGGTCATAACTGATTAAATTAATCCTGTTAATTTTTGTCTTGCATAAGCATTTTCCTTCACTGTACATTTAATGTGCTTTGATTTAATAAAATTGTACAGGAGGATTGCAGCCTTTGAGATTTGACTGACATCTATTACTTCTGCTGAAGCAAATTAACAAGATAGTCGATAACAATAATTAAAGTTGTGCTAGAAACAATTTTCTTGGGACATTGATCTTTCTTTGATATAGACTTGTAATTTTGCTCTTTTTGCACCACATGGTGGCAGTATCCACCTTTCCCACTGCTGCATTTCCGAAGTTCGAAGTGTGCTGTGCTTTTCTTTTATGGAGAGGCCTGAGAGTCTCTCTTCTGATTCTGGCAGGGTCAAGTTTTACCTTGTGACTTGCTGAGAGTCCCTGCAACAAGGTACCTCAGAATGTAAGGTAAGAGGAGCATCATCAGGATGTAAGGGTACTTTAGAATTTCTGTGCTTGCTGCACAGGAGCTGGCATACCTATACATCTCTTGCAGTTTATGAAAAAGTCATTTCAAGATGTACTGCTGGGGTAACTTTTTGAGGTCTTCACTAAGGTCAAGCTTTTTTGCAAGGAATTTTATCGCTAGGAAATGAAGTTTTGTTCAGAGCCTTCCCTAAGCTCTTACACTCTTTTACTGGATTTTTTTTTTTTTTTGTATTCCAGTAGTTCTTGTTTTTCCAGGTACATGAAATATAGTTGCTGAAGTTTCTTGCCTGTTATTTAATAATTTATACTGTGCAAATCCTTCTTCTGGGTTTCCATACAGTATTCTGTAAATTTTAAGTTTTCTCTAATCATTGGAATATTTCTATTTTTTGTGTAATTTATCAACAAAGTCTGTTCTGAGTTTAAAACTTCTTTAGGAAACCAGTAGTACAGAAGTTTGAAATACAGTCATCACTGTAGATAAGACAATTGTTTTTTGGGTTTTTTCTTTAGTGAGAATAACCTACTTCCTACAATAAGAATTCCTTCTTTTTTTCCACTCTTTCAAGGTAAATTAAGGCTCTTCTTCATGAGTTTCAACACAGGTTTCTTCCCTTTTTTTGGGACATAGAAAGGAACAAGAAAATATGCTTAGGCCAAAACTTGGGGAAGGAGGATTATGTTGGCTTTTCTGGTTATTTGTGGCTGACAGACCAGGTTAGAGCAGGTTTTATACATTCACCCTGAAATAAAGTAATATTCACCCTGAAATAAAGTAATAAGAAATATGAGATGGTTTGTTTTAGACTCATAGGAAAGATTATCTAGCCAACCAGGAATTGAAAAAGTTTTAAGGAAAATTTGAACTTAAGAGGCGAAGTCAACTTTAGGAGAATTTAAGTGTGAAATAAATTCATCATATAAGACAACCATGCTGACCCTATAACTTTGTAAACTTGGCTGGGTGTGCTGCTGCTGATAGCCCTTAAGGGCTGCTGAATCTGTAACACAGACCCAGTAGGGTAGGGAGCTGTTTCTGACAACTGGTAGCAGAAAATGGCCTGTGAAGACTGATTCCTAGCACTGGAACGTGGTGTGATAAAGGATGTTTGTTATTCTGCTTTCTGTTTGTAAAGTGATCAGTGTAAGTGGTTGTGCTGAACAGCTGAATTAGTGACTCTCTGCACACAATTGGTGCATCTGTGATTTAGATCAGTGCAGCTCCTCTGGTTCCAGGTACAGCAGCCGCAGCCTGGGGTGAGGCAGTGGAACTGGTGACAGCCATGTTCTTGTACTGCTGACTGACTTGTTACTAAATGTGGGGTACAGGCTTGCTTTAGTCCTCCTTTCACAGTCCTGCTTAATACTTCAAGTATAAATAATGTTGGCACCACCAGTGTTGGAGGTAAAGATAGAGGAGGAAATCCAACTATAGTGGTGTATTAGCAGGAGCTTCCCAGAAATAAAACCAGCTTCTGATGTGTGCATTCCCATGCTGAACATCAGTTTACTATTTTCAGAGCTGTTTGTTTCCAAAGTGGTTAGAACCTTCCCTCAAACAGATGTAATTTACTACTAGTGGGTTTCTCTCAAGGCTGGGAGAGTGTCTGGGAAGGAAATCTTGCTTTCCTTTGTACCTCCAGAAGATTAAGTATTGCTTTCTTCTTCTGGCTGGGAGTTTCTTGGCAATGTTTTCCTGGAATTTGATATTGATACAGTTTTATCAGGGCTGCCTTTTCTTCAATTATTTTTTTATATAAAGTTGCCTTCGGGATTTGCAATAAAATTTATAGCATGAGAGTATCTGAAAGCTGTGGTTATCCTAAAGACAAAGCTGGTTATGTGTAGGACAAAGATCTTTTCTAAGGCTTCATCTCTGAATCAGGATTAGTAGCTGTCAGGTTTTGCTAGACATAACTAACAGCTTTCTCTGTGATAATGTTTTCCAGCTGGAGGGAAAACATATCTATAGTCTTCAAAGAATAAACTAAGCTTTTGTACTCAAAGGATCACTTGGCACTAGATGTGTCTGAATATTAGAAAACTGAGCTGTTGTTGCTACTCCAAAAGGACTGGGATCCCTAAGGTTTCTCCTAAAGTTTGCATATCTGTAAATCTGCACTCTAGAACTCTTCCCCAGCCCCCTGACACCACTTCTTTCAAGCAGTGCCTTGATCATTTGGTCTGCACAGCTCTCTTGAGACGGATGAGGTCTTGGTCTTCGGTGAAATGTGTGCCTTTTTTTTTTTTTTTTTTTTTGTTTTGCAATTGTTAATATTGTTCAGGAGAACAGCTGCAAGGACGATACTCTACCAGTAACTGTGAGCTTGAGGCAGCAGTTTAATATTTGCAAGACTTAAGAAAATTTCATATCTGTGAAAGTTTCCTTTTGTAGGCAATACCTTTCTACTCTTTCCATACATAGCTATGGCTCGCATTGACTGCTAGCTGTGGCTCAGAGGTACAAGATGGTTTAGTTATACTGCTCTGTAATGATCTCAAGGATCCTTTTCACCTGAGAATATTTCACTGAAAATTCTAGTCAGCTCTGACCCAGAGAAATAAACTTTTATTCCTCCACTTTTTTTGCTATAGAAGAATTTATTCCAAAGCTATTCTTTTCATATGCTCCTTGCAAAGTATCTCTACTTTGGAGTAGCTCAACATTTTTGTTTGTAATTTTTAGTGGTAAATAGTGACCTGTCTACAATCAGATTACCAATTTCCCATCTACAAGCAGAGTACCAATTTCATAGCAAGTTACTAAAGAGCTGTTTAATTAATTATGTGTAGCTTCTTCATGACGTTTGGGCAGTTGCATTCCAATAAATAATGTATTGACCAGTAATTTTTGAATGCAGAGTATGTGAACAATTGAAGCAAAATGTCATCTTTACAAAGAAGCAGCACCTCATCCAAATAACTGGAGGGAATTGTTTTCACATCACAATAGTACAGTAGCTTTCCATTTGTCTAGGGCCTTTAGGATATCAACAAAGTGTTGGCTTTTTTAAATGATTCTTCAAAGATGCAGATGTTTGAGAAAAAAAACTTTTTGAAAGCAGGATCACTTTCTTTTACAGGCTTATCTGTAGATGGTGGAAGGAAGTCTCTGCTGCTTCTGCTTGATTGGCTGATTAATCTATTCCCTGCATTTCTATTTATCTTCTTATCTCCAAAGGCTTTTTGAAACATCAGTTAATCCCTATCATGTATTATGTGTCACTAACTTAGTTCAAAAAGTATGTCACCTGGATTTTGCACTTAAAATTCAGATAGGTGTTGATTTCAGTGACTGCTGTAAACTTTTTATGCTGCTCATTGCATACTGAAGATAGCAGTGAAGATTAATATCATTAAGCTGAGGTTTGCCATTAGATCTTCAGTTTCTCTATCAGTTTGGGGTTTTAAGTGGTGCAGATCAGGCAAGCTGAGAATCTTCTTGCTTGAAACATCATCGGTGGACAGTGTTTGTAAACCAAACAAAAGCACTTCTTAGCAGACTTATGCCCTGTAGAAACCAACACCACTGGGTTTCTTAGGCAGCTCTGTCAAGAATTTCTTTAGGCAATGGTTGCCTATCTGTCTCACACAGGAAAAGTTTGGTTTTTCATTTGTTTTAACCATCTCATCAGTCTGAGTTTCTGCTCTCTGCAGAAGCAAAAATTATTCAGAGGCTGAAGAAAAGCCATGAGGTGTTTGGAATATTGTGTACATCACATTCAGTGTAAGGAAGTTCTGCTTGTCCTTTAATTATTTTAAGGTTTGTGGGCTTACTTAATATTATTTATTGGTATTATTTTCAGTACCTCATTTCTGTCCTTAGAAGAGCCCTGTATCTTGATTCTTTCAAAAGCCCCTTTTTTGCTGCAGCAGGACAAAGCTGTTCATCAAGATGTTCAACCTATCTTTTGAAGATAAATGGAAAGATAAAGCTGTTCCATTGCAGAGATCTTAAAATCAGTGTATATGGACAGTGTTAGAAACTAAATTGATTTCATCACATACAAGCAAGGCTTCTTCTGCTTAAGCACAGGCAGCTTGGTTGTATGTTTAAGATGGGTATGTGCTACCTGGAGATGTGCATACCACAAAGCGGGGTTTGTGTGTTAGCTTATTTACAGCCTAAGCTGGCTATCAGCTTGCTTTGTCATGTTTCTTCATGTGTTTGAAGTATTACTTTGACACTTTAAGATTAGGTAGATAAAAAGCAGTGTCCTGTGCACTATAATTAGTGTTTCTTCAGGAATTATATTAAATCTTAAAGAAACAAACATGACAAACCCCTCTAATTAAGGTAGGTCTTAGTATCACTTTTGCAAAGCAGAATTTACCTCTCCTTCCCTGGAATTACCATGCTGTTACACGACATTAACATAACTGTTACATGACATTAATAACTGATTTATTAAATACAATTCAAAAGTAAATTTAGGTCTCAAGTATTAGAAGGAGCTGGTTTTGCAGATATTTGATATTCTGTTAATTGTGGCTTTAAAGCTGCCTATGACAACTTTTTCCAGAGGTTAACCAACTTAATTTTATACTTTTGGTGGTTGTCTTCTAACTCTCAGCTAGATAATAATGTAAGAGCTTCAGTAGCCCACTCAGTGAAGGGTGTGTGAATTGCAGCATGGCTGAATGGCATGGAATATCCACAGAAGAATTGTATTCTAAACTTAATCTTTCAATTTGCACTTAAAAGTTAAGTGCCCTTACCAACATTTCCTGTTGCAAGATAAATTATGTTTGCACTGGATAACAGGGTACTTGCACCACTATGGTACATATTTGAAACTTTAGCTAGCTTGTGCACACCTTTTAAAAATATCTGACAGAGACTACCATTATAATAATGCCATCTTTATAAATAATGACATGTAAACTGATTAAAGAAGAAAGTGTTTCATAGTGTTAGTTGGCTTAATGTATATTCATTAATTAGAGTAAACATAAACTATATATACCAATGTGTGTTAGGATGAATAACAATCATGTCTTTACATGATGTATTTTTAATGGTAGACCATGCAGAATCCTCATTAAAACTTTCTGGATGTTCTGATTTTTGTGATTTGTGGCCTGAAGTGATTTTAGTAATAGTGAAGATAACTAGGTATGTGAAATATAAAACAAAATATTCTTTTTTATCAACAGAATAGGTAAAATATGGCTAGTAGATTAGGGAGCTTTTCTGTAATGTCTTACAAATATTTGGGTGTGTTTTTTCAAGAAGGCATTTTGTCAGTGTTTCAGCTGATGATGTCTGTGAAGTTTATCAGTGTCCTTCTGTCATATACTCCTTATATGCTGTTGCCCTAAACTTCCCTTGTCTATTGAAAACTAGCTATACAGTTATCCTCCTATAACTGTGTAAAGCATAGCTTTCAGCAATGTTGAAAAATTATGTACTCATACAGTGTCTTTTACTGCAAAATAAATGTAATTTGCAGTTGCTAAATGCTTGGTTTAGTAATGGCATCTTAAGGGTGTACTCACCTTCAGTTAATAATATTTGTGATATCCATTCATAATAACCAGATAGCATGATTGTTAATCAAGCATCCGTTAGTGACCTTGCTATCAATCACAGCAGTAAAAAACTGAGCTCAGCAGTATTCTGGACATGGAAAAAATATAAATGCCCAGGAGTATTCTCAAATTTTTAACAAGCAACTCTTTTTGTAGTCCATCAGCTTTATCTTGTACAAGTGAATAAGCATTATTATTTTGTTTGTTCTTGTGAATATATTGCTAAGTAGTACAGTATTTAGGACAAGTAAGAAGGATAAGTTTGTGAAAAAAGTACCTATGTAGTAGAAAACTGAAAAATGAAATCTAGATTGGGGATTAAGGTATAAATTCCTGTGGAGAGTTGGAGGGAATGAGTGTGATTAGGAAATCTGTTGATCTTCAAAAGGAATACCTAGTATTTTAAAAGATGAGTACTCTCTGTGTGTTCTCTTGCTTTGCTTTTGTTGTTTTGGTTTTCAGAATAATCTGTAAAAGTACACGAGGACGAAAAAGAAGGGGAAATGGAAATTAATGCTGATGGACCATTAAGTAAATGATTCTGGTTTATTTTATTTTTTTCTTCCACGAAAGCTTTCCATGATATTCTTCAGCAAACATTGATTACCAGATACAATAGCTACAATTTGGGTGTAACTGGCTTAAATCTTTCAGATAATGACAGATGTTGCTAAACTTGCTGAACAAACCTATCTCATTTTTTTTCAAATTAACTAGCAAGTATCTTCACAGATCTCTTGACTTGTTTGAAACTTTTGTAAAGGTGGTGTGACTTTGGTGCTCCTAGTATTGGTTTGCAGACCACCAGCTGTTTATATTATGGTTTCTGGTCTTGGAAGTTGTGCTAATGGACAAATGCATTGGAAACAATAGGTGCATTTAATCAAGTATTTGTAATAAGATAAAAATAAGTTGAGTATTGATATAGTTGGTTACTTTGTGATATGCTAAATTTCCAAATACTGAGACAAATGAAGGCATAACCACCTGAATATTCATAAGAGGTTTTAATGAAATTTAGTTGGTGATTACTTCAAGTAAATATCAGTGCATTTGTGATCATTTCAAAATGTCTCACTTCCTAGAGCTATGAAGAAGAGAGGAGGAGTCGCTCAGAGCTTGAGGTCAGATGCCAGCGTTTAACACTGGAACTGGCTGATACCAAGCAGTTGATTCAGCAAGGTGATTACAGACAACAGAACTATGATAAAGTAAAATGGTAAGTATCTCCATAATTCGAGTGTTTAACTAACATACAAATGTTAATAAAGATCAGCCTTGATTGACCAGACTTCTTAGTTTTGTTTTTGACTTACACACACATATTTTTTCTTACCTCACACACTAATGATTCAATTACCTCTTTTAGTATATTACAGACTAAAATTAACAACATTCTGAAAACCAATGAATCAAATTATCTTCCTAAAGGTTATATTTTCAGATTTATTGTGTTTTCAAGACAGCCTAGCAGTCTCATTGCATCTAAGGAAGTGGGAGCTGTTGATAGCAAGCATCTTGGAACAAGTACTCTTTTTTTATTCGTAGTTTAAAAGCAATGATCTAACAAAAGGCCCTATGCTCTACTCTGTGCTGGTTGCTGAGTGAGTTAGGAGGGCAGGACCTTGGGAATTAATATTTACAACTTGAGATATCTTTGAAGCGATAAAATTTGAAAGGGCTGTTTTGAGAACTCTGGCAGATAATCTTAGGATTACCTTAGTGAATTTGTTTAACTGCAGGAAGTTCCAGTGTCTAGCTTTTTTAAAATACAGATTGTACTGTTATAGCCAATGTTTTGAATATCCATCTTGCGAAAAGCAATTGCAAAATAGTGAAAATAGACTTCTTGTAAATATACTCATAGATGTATACCTCACAGTCCAGCTTCCAGACAGCTTTTTCAGTGTGCTTGCAAGTACAAGAAATCTGGTCTTTGGCAAATTTGTGGAGAAATTTATTCAAAAATGGGGATTATGAATAGAAAAGACCCTGTCAGCTCCTTAGCTGCTCATATGGAATGAACTCAGGCACAGTTACTGACACAAATGACTTTGCCCACTAAGTCATTTGAAGGGGAATCTGTCTTCTGGATTCACAGCATTTTTGGTTCACAGCAGTATGTACAAAAACAACCCTGGAATCTTTCTGGCATCTTGTTGGAAATAGGATGGATTGGTGCTGAGATTTGCTTCCTATATGCAACTGCATCTTAATAAGTGGAATGTAATAACTTTCATGTGAATGGCTCCAGTGTTTAACAGTGTGCATTTAGAATAGCCTTGAGTTGAGAAAAGCATGAATGAACGTGCCAAAACTGTATTTGAGAGAGTGGGTTGTATTCAGCTGGGTAGGCACACATGAAGAGGAGGGGAGAGCTCTGTTGGCGTAACTGCATGAGGATATTTGGTAGTGCTGCAGGAGTAAATCATTTCCAGACTTGTTTCTGCTTTTAAAAAACACTATGTCAAATCTAGTTCTGCTGTACTGCAAGTTTATCTCAGTTTTAAAGCAATGCTATGCTTAATATAATATTGGTTAGCTTTTTTCTAAACTGCAAGCTCATACTGGCTCATTCATTTCACTGTTCTGACAGGGTGAGAGTGGAGACATAGTGATGCTTCTTTGTGCATGGAGAAAGCTCTTTTGCTCAGGACACCAGCACAATTTTTGCAGCTGTGTCATTTATATTTTAAACATGACAACCCACTCTGGTATCAAAGCTGTGTGCAGGGGAGAGTACCTACTGAGAACAAGTGTACATTGCTTTCTGCTCTGTTAAGAAGATGGTAATGAAGTTGTTTCACTTTTTCATTGGACTTCCATGTCTGCAAAAGATTGAAGAGAGTGTCATGGGAAAAAGCATCAGAAGCTTGATGAAGCTAAAACAATGGGTACTTACAGATCATTGCTAAGAGAAGAAATGTATAGCCCAAAGATACACTAAAGAAGAATAATCAGAGGAGAATGTGTACTGTAGAATTTGAGTTTGAGTACTATAGAATTTTCTTTGTTTCTTAGTATTTAAATAATACTCAATTGTTTCATGTAAAATGATACTGCTCCAGTGTTAGCAACTATTAAAGGTTAAGATTATCACCAGTTGTTCTGTGAGTGACTGATTGGAAGAAGTCAGTGTCTTGAACTGAAGAAGGCTGAGAAATTAAAAAGGCACAGGAATTTTGTTCATTACACTTTATGCATCTAATAGTTTGACTTTGCTTTCACAGTGAACGTGATGTATTTGAGCATGAACTGTCAGAACTCAGAAGAAACTATGAAATACTGGAGGTGTCATACAAAACACAAACTAAAGAAAGAAATGACTTAGCAAAAGAGGTAAACATAAATTTCTTACCTTAGTAATTGTGTGTTTCATCATCTCAGGAATTTGATTCTTTGTCTAATCAAGGTTGTTAGGAGCATGAAATAATTTAATTCTAATGGTCTCAAGAGAGTGATGCAGTACAGAGCAAGATTAGGTCAAGTTGCTTAGGGCTTTGTCAAGTTTTTAAGGTCTCCAGTGATGGAGATTCCACAGCCTTTTGGACAATCTGTTCCAGTGTTTGTTTGCTCTCTTGTGAAAATGCGTTTGTAAAAACTAATCAGTTGGTACAGCTTTTTTTCTGTTGCATCTTGTCCTGTAAGTATATACAGCCAAGTCTCTGGCTATTTTCATGCGTTCCACTTGGATAGCTGAAGTTAACAATAATATTTTCCCCAACCAGATTTCTCTTCTGAAGGCTGAAAAAAGTTCCAAGTATTTCTCTTAACCCCTTGTACATCATATGCTGTAGTTCATGACCATCCTGGTAGAGCTCTTCTGGTCCTATTTCAGGATGTTAATGTATGTCTTTAGGATAGCATGTCATGGGATATAGCACTCCAAATATAGTCTCACAGGTGTGGAACACTGGATAATGTTTTTCTTTAACCCACTGTCTGCATTGTTGCTAGTATAGCCTTGCAGCCTCTTGGCCTTCTTTGCTGTCAGGGCACATTTCTGTCCCATGTTCAGTTAGTTCAACAGATGTTTGCCTATCCAATCCGTATTTTGCCAGCTTTTCCATACAGCTGTTACAGGAGGCGCCTGAAAGCCATGCAAAAGTAAATGACATGGACAGTGATCCCCCCATTCACAGAGCTAACATTTTTGTCAGGTTTGATAGGTTTGGCCTTGGTAAATTTCTGCTAGTTTTTCTGTCACCTTCTCGTTCATATCCATGGATATAGTTTCCAGGGGAATTTACTTCATAATCCTTGGGACTGAGATTACATTTACCAGCCCAACTGAGTGCTCCTACTTGAAGGAAGATTGTGGTAATCAGAAGCCTTGATTATTTGCTATGATCCTTCAAATGGCTGGTCAGCCTCACAGCAACATAGGCTATCTCCCTCAACGCTGGTTGAGTGCTTCCCATTTTTTCCTAGGCGTTATATGCATGCCATTTTCCTAAGTATGTGACTTAGAAGGCTGAAGCAAAGACAGACTGAACTCTGCCAATGAGCTCAGGAACCTGGGAGGCCCCAGGGGAAAATTTACCATTGGAAGATGAATGCTGTGAGTATGCTTGATATGATTTAACTCCAGCTGGCAACTAAGCCCCACACAGCTGTTTGCCCATCCCAGTGGGACGAGGGAGAGAATCAGAAGAGTAAAAGTCAATAAAACTCATGGGTTGAGATAAAGACCATTTAATAGGCAAAGCAAAAGCTACACACACAAGCAAAGCAAGTCAAGGAATTCATTCCCCACTTCCAGTGGGCAGGCAAGGGAAGCAGAGTTCAGGTTCAAGGTTCAGCCAGGGAAGCAGAGTCCTGCAGGAATAGTGTGGAAGATCTTTGTGTGTTAACACTTTAGCCGCTGAATAAATGAGACAGACTACTCCTGAGAGTATTCAGGGGCGATGTGTTCCTTAGTGTCTCTGTGTAAATAACAGTATTAGAGATAGAACAGAGGCTAAAGCTGCCACTTTAAAACAGAGGCTAAAACTCCTGCTTACAGCTACTTGTAAAATTAGGCAAAGCAGTGCTCTGCCTAATTTTACAGGTAGCTGTAGAGATTGTCAGAAACATTAAGGGAAAACACTGAGTTTCTATTAGAAAGTACCCCTTTGGTTTCAGGCCTTGTTAATCTATTTATTCCTCAGTCTAGCATTGTAAGAGGACACCAAAAGTCAGGTTTGTTCTCAGCGTGCAAGAATGGCCAAAAAAGTACTGTCTTGTACATCAAGTTTGTACATACATATGGAGTACTGCAGAATAGCAGCAACAATGGCTTTTTTTCATTAACTTTATACTAAATTAATCAGAATGAACAAAAGTAGCACTACTTTAAACTAAAATATCACTTCAAACTATGTATTACTTAAATCTTCTGGAAGGTTTCTGCTGATTTTTGTGTCTGCTGATGCAGTATCAAGTCCTGGATTGGAAGAACTTCCAATTGGAAGTTTTTACACAGTACTTGTTCCAGAGGAGGAGTAACTGCTTGCTTTTCTTTGTGTAGTAGTCTATGATGTCTGTTCACTGTGGATATACATGTAGCATACTACTTGGAGGCAGACCATGTTTACTTTTTTTTTCTTAAATCAGGTATAGAACAGGCATTTGTACCTCACCCTGAGTGTGGTGCTCAGCAAGTGGGCTGTTAGAGAAGAGCATACCTCTAAGAGTACTGTTTGTATATAAATTGTCATCTCTTTAACTTCTTCCTCCATGTCTTTGACTCCAGTATCTTTCCTAAGTAACCTTTAGTCCTTCTGTGACTTAGAAAAGGTGAATTCTGTCTAAACCATGTACATTATGTCTATAGCTATAGGAGGCATGTTTCTGATAAGTTATTAATTTATCATTCTTTGAACTTGGTATGTGAAATCCTCAGGAGCTTAAATGGCAAAATTCTTTAAGAGGACGAAACTGTTTTGTTATCATGATTATGAAGTTGGGCCACCTTGCAACAGTGTCCTTCATGGTCTTTGCCTGTTCTCTAACTGTGTTCACCTTGAATGGATGGAGACTGCTCTCCCTCACACTGCTTCTTGGTGTAGGAAACATGGTTGATCTGATGACAAAGGTGGCTGTTCTCAACAAATTCTTGTTCCTACTTTGGCATCAGTTTAGCCTTCTGTAGCAACACCAGCTCTTTGCCCTTGTCCACAACAATTGTGCCTTACATCAGCCCCAGAACTATCAGTTTTACCATTTCTTTACAGAGCAGTAATCACCCTGGTGCCCTTAAACATTTCCCTGCTGTTCCTGAGAATGTCAGTATGACAGGTTGGCACCAAGATTCTCCATCGGTGTTTCTGACACTGCACTATGCAGTACTGCTGCATTCAGTGCTTCAGCACTGTTTAGATACTGATGTAGATGAAAGAACCTCTTTTTTCAGGTGCTAACTACTGGAAATAAATAATGTAAACTCATAAAATGGTATTTTTATTAAAGTCTTTTTTTCAACTTAAAGCTTCATCAACTTGTCAAAATAAAGTGTAAATAGAGTCTTTTGGTTCAGATAATTTCACAGAACAGAGTTAAAATTAAATTGCAAATATGTGTACATAGGTTAAATACTTACCTTGAAATTTGCGTTAAAGTGTTCTTTTTAATACCTTTTATAGCTGGCAACCATACAACAATCCCTCAACTTGTTGCAAAAAGATAAAGATTATCTGAATCGCCAGAACATGGAGCTCAGCGTTCGCTGTGCACATGAAGAAGATCGTCTTGAAAGACTGCAGATTCAGCTAGAGGATGCCAAAAAAGCTAGGGAAGAAATGTATGAAAAATATGTTGCATCCAGGCAAGTTATTGTCTGTTCACTTCTATCAATAGACAGATTCTTTAACTGTTTTCCCTTGTTTCTTGCACAAATCCCATTTAATTAATAATAATTTTCAGAAAGCTAACTCATATTTTTTTAACTAGAAGCAGGACACCTTTCTTGGGTCAAAGTATGTATCACAAACAATTTTTTAAACCTTTATAAGACCATAGCAGTGGAAGTAAACTTTCAGCATAAACTTGGGCGTTTATGGCAATTATTCTTGTAGGTTTGCTCAGTTAATTATAAAACAAACTTCTTGTTTTCAATGTATATCCATAAATCTTGTGTCCTGTATAACTAAGAGGGAGTGTGCTAATATGATTCTTCTGATAGACAGCTAAAACAAAAATTGCTACCTAAATGAAAATAGAAGGGCATTCTTGAAATGATGAGTTATGGAGCTCCAGCCCATATCAGAAGAATTTTAAATATTATTTTTCCTTTCAATGCAGTCACTCAAAGTTTTTTTAAATTTGTTTTGCATGTTTATATCTCAGAATTATGTATTTCATTTATATTCACCCAGAACTTCTGTATTTTAAATTTAAAAATTGTCTTACTTTTGAAAATTTAAGAAAACATTCTTTTTAGGTTTTTTTAGAATAGACCTCTGTTGTGTAAAAGGTCTTCATAGAGTATTTGCTATAGTGTGGCATAGTTGAAGAAGGAGAAGAAATAGGTTTACTTTTATCTTGAAGGGTCAACTGAAATACAATGTCTCAATGAAAAGAAAACGTGGAAAGTTTTCTTTTACAAAAGGAAAAGGAAATAAAAGGAAAACCTGACAGCAAGCATTCTCCATTTTAATATTTTGGGGCATCTAGTTACTGTGAGGGAGTTTTTGACCAGCTCAAGTACTCATTTCTAAGAATTATGGGTTATCACATGTTTGGAAATCAAATTAAATCTAAAACCTTTTACAGTTGCAAATACACATGTCTTCATAATATGCTTTTGTTTCCAAACCTGTGATTTTTACCAATTGCTTAATTGCTGATTAATTATTCTTGAACATTATGCTATCAAATTTTGACATTCCTTAACTGTTAAGCGCTTATAACATAACCCTGGTTTTGTCAGAGAGATTCTTTATGAGATTCCTTACAATCTGTCATGAGCTTCCCAAGTTACAAAAAAAGTCAATGTTTCTCTGAAATGAAATTCTTTTATCCTGATATCTTCTGATACTTGTGGTTTAAAAACTTTGTGTTTTAGATAATTCATGTGTTACATTGACAGGATAAATTCCCAGATTTTGGGGACTTTTGACTTCACAAATCTCCACTCCATTTAATTTTCAATTGAACTTGTTATATGTTATTCCCCTCATATGAGATGCAGATAGTACACAAAGAAGTCTTGTAGTGGCATGGCAGCATTGCAAGTCAGTAAGTTAATCAATCCTTACCCAGTAATGAAGAAGAAAGTGAGGAGTTAAATGGTTACTTAATATAAGCACTTGTTTAGAGGCTGACAAAGAAGATCTGGAAGAATGTTAATGTTATGTCATTAATCAATATTAAATAACTTTAAACATTTAAATCTGTGTGCAAAAGACTTCTGTTTATTCACAGTTAAATGTTATTTATTCCTGGTTGATTTCCATTTAATTTATATAACAGCATAGGCTGATAAGTATTTTAGGTCATTGAGAGGTAAATGAATAAAGATTGAAATAAAATGTAAAATCAAGAAGAACTCTGCTCTTGTAAAGCTGTACCTCAGGTTTTAATATTTTAACTAGTGCAATATGTTTGTTTATTTACAGAGACCACTATAAAGCAGAATATGAAAAGAGACTACATGAAGAGTTGGAACAAATAAGGTTGAAAACAAATCAAGAAATTGATCAACTAAGAAGCACCTCAAAAGAGATGTATGAACGTGAAAACAGGTAGGTAAGGTGTAGGCAATAACCTAATTGAGGAAGAAAGGACCAAGCAGTGTTTTGTGCTTAGATACAGTCCTAGCTGACTAACTCTTTGAGAGGTACTCAAAATGTAAAACCTAAAATTAAATTATACTTGTATGGTAAGTTTATGTTGTTATATTTATTATTAAGTGATGGTCAGCCAACATTATCACTTGAAAAGGAATATTAGAATTCATGTTCTACATTAGATCTGGTGGTTTGAGGTTTGTTCAGAGGTATAGTATTAGTTAATTGACACGGGATGACAGTTTACATGTCATGCTCTAGGGGCAATCTTGAAACTGCTGGGAATTCAGAAGAGAAAATGTTGATGCAGAAAATAAGGCAGGAAAAACCCAAAGGAGATAAGACTTAGGCCTGTATGAAGTAAATCTAATTGAGTTTGTTAAGAGCATCATGATTCAAAAAAACCATTGATTTCCTGTAAATTATTGTAAAATTCTCTTGAGGAAGATTCTAGTCCTGCTAAAACCTGCATGATGAGTCTGTATGTGTGTCATCTAGTTGAATACCATGGAATTACATGCACATGCATAAGCCTTTTAGGGACTAAAAGATTTGGACCTTTGGCACTGAATTTCTTTTTTAGCTTGTTTTTTGTCCATTTGATTGCCTTAAAATGGGAGGAGTGCTTAATAACTTTACTATAGATGTGCTGAAAGTGCCGTGTGGAGAAGGAAATGACAATAGTAAAAAGATATTTGTAGCATTAGCATCTGTTCCTCTAATAGGTAGTTTTGTTACTGCTGGGAAGAGTGGAAAAAGAGCATGGCTTCTGCTGTATTTCAGTCAACAGAAAGGTTCTAATTAAAAAACAATTACATCATTGTGTAGTTTTGCTAGTGTGAGTAAAATACACATATACATCCACACCATTTCCTGTATGCAAATCTATTTTGAATTACAAAGTATGAATTTAAGCATGCATTACTTTGGAGATTTGACAAGCGTCTGTATATCATTGAGAAAGCTACTGAAAGATATTTCATTTGTATCTGGAACTGCTTTACAGAAGTTTTTTCCTCATTTTGAAATAATTACTTCTGAAATGCAAATCCCTTAGATTTGCCTACACGTTTAGAAAAAAAAAATTAAAAGAAAGCTTTCTAGCATATGTTCTTTCTAGAAAATACTAAAAAATCCACTGTAAGGCAGTCTGCCTCAATGGTAAGACAAATGGAACCTCAAATTGTGAGCAAAACAATTTGCAGTAAATTTGTGGAATGTGATGAGATGCTGTTTGTGGCTGAAAATAAAGTTAAGATGCTGGTTTCATCCTCCTGCTCAAAGCATGGAATGGTATTACAGCTAAGCTAATCCAATATTCAGTTGCTCATATTCTTTGCCAAGCCTGATGTGCCTGATAGTTCCTTTGAATTTGTTGGCATGCATTTTACACTAGGATGAATCAGTTCAAGAAACTGAAATGGGAGGGGGCCACTAATAAAGAAGTGATGCATTCATGCCTAATTTTTTTGGCATCAGTTTCACTTGTATGACTGTTGTAAGCATGGGCTGTGTTTGCATTAGCAAGCATGAGTGAATTCACAGGGCATGTGAATGTCTGCAAGAGGTTTGACACTGGGTTACCTGTAGTCCATTCCCATAGATCAAACACAGTTTAGTAGTTGAGTGTGTGAGATGCTTTCCCTAAGCACGTTTTCTGATATGGTCAAATCTGACTGCAATACAGTTTGTGCATTCTAGACCAGTTTAGGGATGTGATATTTATTGCATTTATGTGCAATAAATGACGGTTGTGAAGAGGTTTTTGTGAAAACCTAATGAAGATGCCCACGAACTGCTGCCTCCCGTGTCTTCATCTCACCTTTTTTTCCCCCATGCCCATTCTTGATCCTCTAGATAGTATTTCTGTCCCATTTACTTTCATTGTGTGATAGGCTGGCTAGATGCCTTGCAAGGCCCCAGTGCAGCCATTTGGGTAGGTGCTTCACCTCCTGTGAAGTGGCAGTCACACAGCTGACAACTGGCAGCATCACTGGTGTGTCTCCTGGCTCTCTGGAGAGTATTTCAACAGAAGTTATATCACATCTATGATTGTGGTCTTGTTGGTTGAATAGTCCCTCACTTGTGTCCTTTTTCCTCCTATTGCATTTACAATTGATTAGTTGTTCAGCTAAGCAAAAGAGTTTGTTCTCTAAATGAGGCTCTATATCTCTCCTACTGTTTCATTTTTATCCCTCCTCCACTACTCCAGTCTTAAGGATACAGCTCTGAACTCCTACTCTGAGACATAATATGCTTGATCTTAATGCTGTTAACAAAATATATTGCCATGTTGCCATATTTTGGTATGAGTCACTTTTAAAGAATCTAATCTTAAGGTCAGTCCCTGAATTTCTGCACTAAATTCTATAGCCTAGTAACTCAATTTTTAAAGAAAATTTTGTTACCTTTCTCTAGTAGCCAGTTAGCTGCTACATAATTCAGATGTTAATTTTTTTCTAAGTAACTGTTTGCTGTTCATATGAATTACTTTGAATTCAGAAAAGTGCCACTGATAACATTTATTCTAGAAAATAGTCTTTAAACCAGAAATTATATACCTTTAGTGTGATACAATGACGTAGGTTAACATTTACATGAGCGTAATAATTTTCTATTTTCCTTTGTATCCTGACTTTTCTCCAAAACTTGCCTAAGCCTTTAATTTCTCTTTGCCTTAAGTCAGAAAGTTGTGAGGAGAGGAAAAAAAACAAATCTTCAGTAGGAAGATCTTGGTTTCATCCACATTAGCAGTTCAGTTCAGATGAAGAATATGGTGTTGAAGTGAAATCCCCTAAGTCATAGCTGCTAGCCATGGTTTTAGGTTGCCTTGCAGCTGTCCTTGGATTTGGATTTGCTTGTATTTGTAACATATAAATAAGATTCCTTTTAGATAAAACAAAATCGAAAGGAATTTTTAAGATCATCTAATATGTTTCAAGTGCTGGTGAATGTTCATCATAGAAGCAAACAAGTAGTAGAGTAAAATCCTTAAAAACAGTCATAACAGAGATGTCTGATCCTCAACAACCACTGTTAGCTCTGGCAAATTGGCTGGTGCTCTGTTGCACTGAATATTGGACTTTGAGTTTATATACAGTATCTAAGCAGTGCTTCCCCTCCTTATAGTCTAGTGCAGTGTTACTTTATAGCCTGCTTGCAGCATAACAGACTGTGAATAACTAATTCCAATTTTTAAACACTAATACTATATGTTTTACTCTTAGTATCATGCTGTTCTCATTTGTGTTGGTCAAATAATAATTGAGGTCGTTTGAACATCTTGACTGATCCCTGGTTATAAAAAAAAGGAGTATCAATTGATTGTAATAAAATGTTATTTTATGGTTCGTTGCAGATCAAAAATGTTGCCAGCAATAAAACCCAGGAGACTCCTGGGTTAATATGTATGATATGCAATAGCATATACATCACAGTACCTAGACAATTGGTAGTAGGATTTCTATGCTTACCTAAACTTTTCTTGCTCTATCAAAAGTTATGAATCATCTCAGCTAGGCAGACAGCATTCGTGCAGTTATTCCCAAAGCACCAAGGAAAATCATTGGAATTTATTTAATTCCTGCAAAAAAAAAATTTAGTTCTAGTATTCTAGAATAATTAGAGTTACATGTTTCCACATGTAGATAGGTGATTTGATAATAGTTTTTTACAATTTCAGAACTGGAAGCTTTGCTGGTATACATGAAAACAACCTGAAGTAAAGCCTCTGTAATAAATAGGTGAATAGATAGACCCTTCTGCCATTCTATGAGAATTGAAGAAGGTAGCATTGAAATTTGTATCAGAAAGCAGTAATTAATGAAGAAAAGCAGTCTTGTTTCTAACAGATTCTTAACAGAATAATTTTTGTTTCCTTCAGAAATTTGAGAGAAGCACGAGATAATGCTGTTGCAGAAAAAGAGAGAGCAGTTACTGCTGAAAAGGAATCTTTAAGAAAATACGATCAGCTCTTAGAACAGTAAGTGTTTTAAAATACATATAAAACAAATAATACATAAAATACAAATCTAAAGGTATAACAGTGTTTATAGGTAGGAGGTCTGAGTAGGAGGAATTACTTACTTTCTGCTTACAAAGAACAAATTGAATTACAAACTCTTCATTTAAATGAAGTTGCAGACTTAATTCTTGTAGTAAATTCTTTCCATTATCACTGCAGTAATAAGATCAAAGTTTGGTATTTCTCCTACCATACTGTAGAGACAAGCAAACATAATTATTCATTTCATAGCAAGAATGTCAATTTTATACTGTACAGTAGCAGTGGTCAAACTCTGAACCTGTTTGTGGGGTTTTGTCTTTAGTTGAGAGTAGAAAATAAGTTTGTAAGATGACTTCAATTAATAGTTTTTATGAAGTTTGGATAGAGGGCAGTAGTCATAAACAATTATGTTTGCTACATGCTTCTCTTCTTACTAGTCTCTTCTCAGACTCTCATACTCCATGTGTAGAATGTATTGTCTATACCAATGTACAGTTCCATTCCATAGAGAAAGAAACTGTAGTTGATTTTTTTGCCTGTTTACAAGCACTCTATGTTCTGTAACTCCTTTTCCTTACTTTTTGTAAATGTAGAATGTACGCTGTGGTTAAACTATGAGCTAATGTAAAACTATGGACAGTAATCAAAGTTGTTCAGGTTAAGTTTGTCATGTGTCTTTAGTTTTGGATTTAATTCATTGTTTAATACATTTTTTTTTCTATAATGAAGTGATCAGTTCATTAAGTGACTGTGCTACCTAGTCATCTTACTCAAAGGAAGTACTAGATGAGCCTTCTTTGCTCTGAATAATTTTTCATTACAGTGAAAATGTTGTTAACTTAAGCATAGGAACAAATTTATTAAAGCTTTTAATTTTTATGTATAACTCCTAAATTGCAGTGGTGATACTATTGAAGAAATAGCATTGCCAAAGGATTGAAAAAATGTGATTTCTAACTGATGATGGCAAACAATAGGGGTAGGTCCAGAGCAAATGAGATGGGTCAGAGGATTTGATATCCACGGTGAGTTTAAGGGACTTGACTTCTGATTAATTCTAGTTCAGCTGAATGGGTCCTAGGGTGCCGAATGCCTTTTAGGGGTTAGAGCACATTGGAGGGGTTGTTGGGTTCTCAGAAGGAATTCAGTCTGCAAACTCTGAGGTGATGGCTGGCATATCATAATTTGAGTTTGCACTTTTACTTAATAAAAATCCTAACTTTACAATTCTTCTATATTTATTTTTAAACTTAAGAACTGTGGAGAAAATGCTTTTCTGTCCAGCTGTATTCCCATGCATCTAAAGTGTCCTTTTTCATACTTTATTTTTGTTGCTTTTTAAATTTATGTTGCTTCATTTTGAGGAGGTATGTCCCACTGCAATTAGAAATAGGAATCTTACTTGATACACTTATGCTTCTTTGCTCTTATAGCTTTTTCTAGTGATAAGCCTCCGGTTCAGTAAAACTCTCATTTCCTCGTGTTAAATAAATTAATAAGTTTATTCATGCTGGGTTTTGGAGTTCTAAGAAGTAGATCTCTCCTCAGAAAATGATTTTCTGCTTGGGAACATGGAAAACCCATACTAGCCTTTTTTGAAATGTTGGTGTCTCTCTTTAAAAGTACTTCACTTCTAACTGCATAACAGGTGTCAAGACCGTGACTTTCTCCACATTCCAAATCATTTACCTAAGTGAACTGCAAAGTAACTAACTGGCATGTTGAGATGGTAGAAATACCTTAACTTGAAAGACCCCCACATTCTGAATTTACTATGGACTCACATGTGACAGTTCCGTGGAACAAAGAAATTTTCTGATATCACCAGAAACCCCTAAGACAAAAAAGGAATACCTGTGTTGTCCAGTTCTGTATTTAAGTGATTATAACAGCTTGTTCTACTTTAGTAAAGACAAGGTGACTCATCGTAGTTACCACTGGTATCATAATCTGTATAAACAAACATGTTTGAAAGCTTCAGAAGTATGTGGAATGTTGACTGGCTTGAATGGTGGTTAAATAAAGCCCCTGGCAAATCTTGTGATCAGAAGTGTAACTAATACCCAATTTTCTAGTCAAGTGCAGTTATTTTCATTTTTTTTCACTCTTGTTTGTGATAGTTTTCTGTGAACAACTATTTACAAATGCCAAGAAAAAACCGAAGTGATAATATTCATGAAAGAATTATATTGAGAAAGGATCTGCTGTTTCAACCTTTAAGTAGACCACTGTGATGTCAGGATGTAAGTTTTGTTGCTCTCATTGCCATTTTACATCTGTAATTTCTGTCTGAGAATCTATGTTTCATTTGCCTATGACAATGACAACAACCTTAAATTATTTGATATTTTTGGATTTAAGTCTTGTTGATGTCACACATGTTCTGAAAAAAATATGACCAAAGGGAAACATTTTCACTTGTTGTTGGTAATGTGACTTAAGACATTTTTATAATTTCAAAGCTGTATTACCTCAGTTGGAATTGTCTCGGGGTAGAGTAAGCAGAGCAATTCTGTAACAGCTCTGTCATCTACATGGTTAAGTGCAGGTACTAAATATGTTCCAGCTTTTCCTTCTTTTGAACACTCCTGGAGCATTAGTTTCATACTACTGACTCTTAATCTATTACTTCTCCTTGCCAAAAGAACAAACATCCAACCCACCAAAACACCAACACCAAAAAAAAACCAACACCAAAAAAGTAGAAGTGCACTGTGGTTTGCTGTTGGGCTTTTTCCTGATAAGGTGCCTAGTCTCCTCTAAGGAGCAACATAAAACTTATATGGTTTCTTTTCTTAAAGTGGACTCAGAGGTCTAATATGGTATGAACTCACACTTGAGCACTTCACCTACAAGTACCATCTCAAGCCTTTGATTGTTGACTTCTTTTAAAGTCAAATTCCTTAAATTTCTTCTAAAAGGAGTATAATATCTTTTTCCAGAACTCAGCTACATCAGTGGAAACTGGTTTAAAAATTCTAGAATTACTGGGAACACAAGTGAAGTTCATACAAAACCTTTTTTTTCTTAGTGAGAAAAAAATATGCTGCTCACATCATCTAATTGTACTTTTCCTATTTTTGTAATGATAAAGTGAGAGGTGTAGAATAGTGAACAAAATAGGTATGCAGTAAACAGAATATGAGTATTCAAGGAAATTGTGTTGTGGCAAGTGTTGTTCCTTCAACTTTGTAGTGAACACTATTCATAAAAACCCTTGGTTTTGTAAAAGCTAGTTTAACTTCCTGCCTCTGTCCATTAGGTAATAGGATATCTTTAATTGTGTTCTTTTTTTGTTTCCTATTTGCATATACACAGATACACAGATGATGAATTTTAAACCATATTTCTGTAGTTGTGTTAAGTCAGGGTGATGACTACAGAAATCGTTTAGAGCCTTAGGTTTGTTCTACAAAGATTTTAAAGTATTTTGTAGTATTTTTATTATTTAAACATTTCTGGGTTGATGTACATAGCTCAGTTTGTAAAAATTACTGAATTTATAATGGATGATCTGCTACAGGTAAAAATACCTTTAGGAGTATTTCTGTTGTTTCTGTTTGGAAATGTTTTTCTCAAATGAGAAACAAAATAGAATAAAGATTATCGGCATTTCTTGACAGCATTTTTCTCTGCCTCATAGATTCAGAAAAGTATGCAAAAAGTTGTCTGCATGTTTGCGTTTGCAGATTTATTGCTTTTCTTTCCAGTCAGCTGCAAGGTGACTGTGCAACTTAGAGACTTATTTTAGTCTCTCCATAGTCTTTTTCATTTAAATCTCTTTTATCCCTATTTTTTTTGTTCTTCATAATTGTGGTATATTTTAGAATTTATATGATGCTATATGATGCTAGTCATCTGTCTTGAACTGTTTAGGTGATGGAGAGAGGGGATCAATTCTGTTAATCAAATGGGTTTTTAAATAAGATGAAATTAAGATCCCTATATCTGCTTATTAATTGCACACAAGCCTAGAGGACTATCTTAGGTGAGAAGATAATTGGATAAACTTCCTGAATAAATAAATGTTAGAATACATTTAGAATCTCTGTGGAGCATTCTGGAATCTCATCCTTTCAGTTATTACATAATACTTTCACTGTTAACAGAAACATTAAAGCTAATTACTTTCCCCATCTGATAACATATTTTTTATAATCTGGATGTTGCTGACTGCAGTGACAGGATTCTAATATTAAAATTACAAACTCAATGTCTATACGTGCTGGAGTTACTGCTAATATTTAAATAGGGGCGTGTTATCTCTTCAAGAATATTTATATCAAATGAAGATTTCAATAATGAATTTTAAAAAATCCATACTGAAGACTGCTGGCCAAAATAGTTCTTGGGCAAAGCTGCCATCACTCTGTGATAAAAACTGCTGTCAGAACTTCCTACACATGGATGCTGGGTTTCTATGTGAGGTGTTTTGCAATCCCTTGAATTAAAGAGCTGTGTAGGTCTTGAAAATCATTACCACTTTAAATTTACAGTTTCAATTAATTTTGTTTATGATTTCCAAAATGCTTTTTTGGTAATAATAATTTGCTGCTGCTGTATTCATTTATGACTTCCATCATATGATGTGTATGCATAATTTTTAACACTTAGAATTTCTCTCAGAATAAAGCCAAGCCCTTCAATGGCATTATTGGACCTTGTTTGGAGTTCAGCCCTAGCCAAAGTAGCTATTCCACATTTCCCATAAAACAACCTTCAGCTTGTTCTCCTGATGAGAAAGTTAAATAGGAGGTACAACTAAATGGGGAAAATTCATGAATGTAATGAAAATTGCTGAAAGACACCCTCTCAGAAATTCTGAATCAATGCAGAGAAGTTGTGAAAGAACCAAGAGCAATAAGATGATGGAGAAGCAAAGAAAAAGTCAATTTCCCAGGTGACTAAGTCTAGCTTATTTCCAAGCTGTAGAAGCAGCACTGAAATCCATAACAGAAAAAGTCTATGTATCCTGT